TTTCCTTTCACATGCTGGGCTTCCTTAGACAACTCTCCAAAACTGAAACAGCTGGCCATTAGAGGTAATAAGCTCTACGACAAGGATACAAACGAAGCAAAGTTTTAAACTGTTACCATATTTTTCCGTGGATAAAATGAAACTTTTTCCTAAAATAATTAGAGGAAAAATTGAGTGTCGTTTTATACATGGAAGGAAGCAGCTGCGCTTGGGCACCTCTTCGTGCCACTGCCACTGCCCAGTTGCCTCTTCCAGAGCTCATGGCTTGTCCCCTCTGGTGGCCCCAAGGCAGCAGCAGGAGGCAGAGGCAAAAGAGCATTCACATGTGCTTGGGGCCCTCTTGCTGCTGCCATCCCCACCCTACTGCCTTCCTCCCCTGCCCGATTACCTCCTCCAGTATGACTGCCGACTGCCGGGGCTCACCTCCAGCTCACGTCGCCCGCCTTGTCCCCTCTGGTGGTGGAGGCAGGAGGAGGCAGAGGCAAACAAGCATTTGCGTGTGCTCAGGTGCCTCTTTCTGCTGCCACCGCCAGATCACCTCCCACGATCTCCTTAGGGCAGGGGATAAGGCAGCGATGTGAGCTGGAGCTGAGCCCCAGCAGTCGGCAGTCACACTGGAGGAGGTAATCGGGCAGGCAGCGGAGACAGCAGCAGCAGGAGATGGAGGTGGAGGAAAGAAGTGGAAAGTAAGTGAACCTTGCTCTCTACCTAATCTACCTTGCTTAAAGCTCTGACAGGAAGTGATCGGGTGGCAGAGGCAGCAGCAGGAGGAGACGGAGGTGGAAGAGCAGTTGCCCATTAACTGCTCCTCCGCCTCCATCAAGGGTCAAAATTAGGGGGTCGTTTTATACATTGGGGCTGTATACAGTCGTGCCTCGCTTTACGATTGCCCTGCATTATGATGAAACTGCATTACGACAATCTTTTTATGATCGCAAAATGATGGTCTAAATTGGTTTTTTTCGCTTTGCGATGATGCTTCAGGAACCGATTCTTCGCAAAACAATGATTTTATAACAGCTGATTGGCGGTTTCAAAATGGCCACTGGGTAAACAAAATGGATCCCCGCTGTTTTCTGGGACGGATTCCTTGCAAGACAAGCAGCGAAAATGGCTGCCCTATGGAGGATCTTCGCTGGACGGTGAGTTTTGACCCCATTGGAACGCATTGAAGGGGTTTCATTGCGTTTCAATGGGGTTTTTTCGCTTTACGATGTTTTCGCTTAATGGCGATTTTCCTGGAACAGATTATCGCTGTTAAGTGAGGCACCACTGTACATGGTAAAATATGGTACTTATTGGGACAACATACAATCATAGAATCATGGTGTCAGAAGGAGCCTATAACACCATTAGGTCTTGCCACTGCTCAAGTCAAGAATCCAAATCAAAGTACAGTGGTGCCTCACTTTACGATTGGCCCACATTATGATGAAACCGCTTAATGGTGATCTTTTTGTGATCGCAATTGCGATTGCAAAACGATGGTCTGAATGGGGGAATTTCGCTTTGTGATGATCGGTTCCCTGCTTCGGGAACCAATTCTTCACAAAATGATGTTTTTTTAACAGCTGATCAGTGGTTTCAAAATGGCTGCCGGGTTACTAAAATGGCTCCCGCTGTGTTTAGGGACAGATTCCTCACTATACAGGCAGTGGAAATGGCTGCCATATGGAGGATTTTCGCTGGAGGGTGAGTTTTTACCCCATTGGAACACATTGAATGGGTTTCAATGCGTTTCAATGGGGTTTTTATTTTTGCTTTACGATGTTTTCACTTAGCGGCGATTTTCCTGAAATGGATAATCGTTGTTAAGTGAGGCACCACTGTATATTTAACAGATGATTCTCTAATTTTTTCTTGAATGCCTCCAGTTATTAATTATCCAGACCACCGTCAGATTGTCGCACCATGGACATACCATAGAGTTGGCTCATTTGCTTGCCCAAAGCCATAACACGCCAGCTATGGGAAGAACTCCAAAACTTTCAAATCTCTGATGACTCCAGTGTGGTGCCATTCTGGCCACTTGACAGTGCACCATCTGCCTCCAAAATATATTTCCAACCTGAAGGAGCCTGCAGCATCTGACTGGACCTGGAACTCCGCTCTAAGCATCCTATCTTCTCTCAAAAAGGAAATGCCACTAAACTCGGTTAGAAACTGACTCCATACTTACAATTCCTCCTGCATGCCATACGTAACTCTAGTTCTGTGAAATGGATGATGTAATCCCTTCATTGCATTGTAAAGCTGACACAGAAAGGCATTCCCAGGTGCTACCACTCTGCCGGCAGAACTTAAATGTCCAACAATCTCCTGTAGCACCCCCAGGGTCACTTTCACCACAAAAAGATAATCATCAAGGCAATGGGCCGTATTTTTACTTCCCACTCCACTCTTTATCTTCCACTCAAAAAGAGAACTGGAGTGCTAATTGTGATGAAGTGTATTTTTCTAATTAGAGATGGGTTATGTAGTCATGTCTTAACCATAGAGAAATCCATTTTGAGTCTGACACAGGCTAAGTTCTAGAAAATTATTAGTAGTTATTTTCAGCTTCATGTCGCTAACCTTATCGCTGCAGCTGGAGAGGAAAACACGGCAGAGTCAAAATATCTCTAACCTGAATTATAAACAATTCTTTGGTGTTGGTGGGAAAGTAGGGCGTACCCTATGCTAATTCTTTCCTTCTTGATTATTCGAATATGTCAGGAAGGGGCAGGTTGGAGAAATTTACAAGAGGTTGGAAAAGAGGAAGCCAGAGAGAGAGAGAAGGATGAAGAGAGTTTTGGGTATCTGGAAACATGGCGAAGGAACCTGATTTAACAATATGGACTGTGTAAGAATATCGTTTGTTTACCTTAGTTTATAGTTTAGATTTTGTTTTGTTTAATAGTTAAATTTTATAGAAGGTGCTGAAACGTTATGCTGTTGCTTAGAAATGAAACTGTAGAGAAATGTTTTCTTTGTTCACTTAAATAAACTCATGTTGTTTAATAATTGGCCTTTCTAGTCCTTTGAACAGAACAGTTTCCCTATAGAATAATGAATTTGGCCTTACGTTACCAAAATTGAGTCATTGAACAGTAAAGATACGGTATTAAGTGGTTTCTTTTTAGTAAAATCGAAACAGCCTTAAATGCAGGTTTCCCAAGAGTTCATGTCCCGGAACTGTGTTTGACTCAAGCAGTTAACTTCAAACGGGAGTGAAGGAAGCCTGGATTTTCCTGTTTCGTGGGTTTTGATCTCATTTATGGGACCAATAACTCACACTAATCACTCCTCAAATCCCTTTGGAGCCCTGAAGCAAAGGGATTTGATTCTGCAGAAACCCCAGATGTCAACATAGTCTTCCTATCTATTCTGGCTTCTAATACACCTGCCCACAATTTCAGGGGTTAATTCACTTGTTTATCTTCCAATGAAATGTAGGGGTGTGAGTATTGTCCTTCTGTGTTCTAACATAAGGTAAAAAGGCCAGCCTCAAAGCAAAAAAGAAAAAAGAAAAGAAAAGAACATCAGAAATGTGGAAATATTTTTTAAAAAATAATAGAGGAACATTTCAACTTTCCAGACATTGTACTACTGACCTTAAAGCTATAACTGCACAGACTAAATACATTTCAAATGGAATTTAGAGTGAGTAATGTTTCAGTCTATCAACAGTGGTTTGCCTTTGGATGTTTTCTAATCACACTATGTGCATGCTATGCGCCATCAAGTTGCATCTGAATTACGATAACCTGAATAATTTTTACAAGGTGTGGGAGACGTTTAAGAAGTGGTTCTACCAGTGCAACACTCCCAAGTGAGTTTCCATGGCTGAATGGGGGTATGTACCTGGGTGTTCCAAGTCCCAGCCTGTCACTCCATCCACTAATCACATCACATCTTTTTAATTGTCTTTCCAGTGCCTGGATGTTTGTGTTTTCAGCAAAAGCTCTTTTGTGAATGGTCAGTGTTAATTATTAAGTGTCACTGTCAGTTTTTTCTGCTCTTAATTTCTCCTTGCCCTCACTGTTTATACCATCTCCACCCTTCTGGACCCCATATAATGCATATATTCCTGAAACTGTGGATACTACTGATGAAGTGGGCTACGGTCCATGATAGTTTATGCCACAATAGATTTGTTTAAGTCTTTGAGGTGCTACCAGATACTGTTGTTTTTACATGACATGTGTATCACATAGCTGACTCAACACTTGATACAGTATTTCGTTTTCTTTGAACATAGTGCTTTACAGTAGATTCAGCTATCATATTCACCAGTAAATAACAAAGTGTGGAGTCAAGAAAATCCCATTCATGCATGAACCAGTTTGTAAATATTGTTTGCTGCGTGTTGTTTTCATTATGTTTACAATGAGGTGATTATATGGGACAGGTAGATGATGGGCCTATTTCTTTTATTAGCACTGTTCACTAGCCACAAAGAAAAGTGTGGCAATGATATGAGGAATAACCACTTCTCTTGTTTGTTCTTGTTTGTTCCCCTTGTGATTAACCAATTAACCTGTTTTCCCTCCCACACTGCAAGATGTTCAGACACACTGTGCTTCAGCAATTTTACTTGCCAGCATTTACTTTCCAGTGGCCACTCACAAAATACAGCACACTAAATGTGAGATAAATAGGTGAAGAAAATAATGTCCTATGAAAAGCTCTTTCCTGCTTGGGGGAACATCTTTTCCAAAACCCTGATAAATGTATCAACTAGTTTTACACTCAGTTGTATCTCATGAAGCATTTCTATGAAGACTTTATTTCTCACATTACAGCTAGACTTTTTGGTGACTTTATCTACCCGGTTACTTTATTGGTTTCACTGGTATGACTTGCACTAGATATTATTTCTGTTTCTTATGGCAAAATGTGAGGTTTTATGCTGGGTCCACCCCACCTCCCATCATCATAAACAATCAGGGGGCCAAAGATTTTGAAAAGTTTTTTGTTTATATTCATGGCAAGTTAAATGTAAACATGAATGAACCTACCTCAAAATCCCAAAGAACAGAAAAATCCATTGCAGTTGGTTGTTCAGCCTTGGGCACAATTTTTCTTGGTATACTTCCATATGATGCTCCCATTAACATCTGGAACAAGATAAATGAATTTAATTATGGCATGTGTAGCACTGAAAATATTTCATTTTGCTATTCATCATTAACAGAACATAGCAACTTGTCTTTCCTGTTTTGAGCTGCATTGTTTTAAAATATGGAATGAATGGACTGATTTAAAAAGACTGACTCTAAATATCAACTGTATCTCTATGTCAACCTGCAATGTATTTTGATCTAAAATGCTCCAATTGTTCTGTTGGCTTAGGCTGTACAGCTATTTTTCATGCCATCTTTTCATGCCTAATACTTGAAATGACTGCCCTTTTCACCGTATTTCATGGGATCCAAGTTCCTCAACTTTGCAGCGGGTGAGAAGAAATTAATTGCTAAGAAAACCATCATTAAGATCACCGAAGACCTCAGTTTCTCACGTAATTTATATATCTCCTTTTCCTGCATAGAGGTAAAGTCTGAAAATTTTCACAATAGTAAAATGCTTTCTGAATATATGAATATGAATATGGATGGCACTTTAAATATGTGAAGAAACTGACAACAATGTTGAGGCAATATTGGTTTTAAACTTAATGACCAAAATGAAGTTGGCAAAAACCCATACACATAAGGCAATGATGCAGCAATTTGTCCTTTTCTGTCAACTTCCCATCACACTATGGTTATGCGACCAGTTGTCTGCCTGATTTTGCAAGCAATGCAACACTGTACACATGACAAAGAACCTATGAGAGGGGAGGCAATCACGTTTATGCAGTCATGTAAATAAAGAGGATTCTGGCCAATGCATGGCAAACTTTGGAACGAAACACGGGAAGAAATCTGTTGTTCTGTTTATAAAAAAATGGCTGCCCTAAATGTTGGATATAATGTACATCAGTGGCCCCCAACCTTTTTGGCCGCATGGACTGGCTGGGGGAGGTGGGGCACCCCCTGTGCTCGTGTGCATGCACAAAGGGCAGCACAGTGCTCGTGCAGGCACATGCATGCTTGTGCGCATGCACAAAGGGCGGTGCCGCGCTTGTGTGGGTGTGCTCATGCTCGCACGCAGGCGCAAATGGACTATGCAGGGGGGGAGTACATGCGGGGTTGGGGGGAGGTCTCTCTCCACGGCCCAGTCCAGCTCAGGCCATGGACCATCACCAGGCTGGGGGTTGGGGACATCTGCTGTACATGATATAACAAAATTAACAAACCCTGTCAGAGTTATGCATGGTAAATACTGAGAAAGGAAGCTTCAAAACAAATTAAATTGTTTGCTGTATATTAGAACAGTTACACCGCTCAGAGACCATTGGTAATGGTGTGGCTAAAAAAAATCTTATAAATAAATAAATAAACAAAATAAATAAAAATTATAATATAGAATCTTCCTATCATGAGGTTTGGTGGATTTCATTATATTGTTACACTGATGGTTTTTCTGTCTTTCAAATCAAATAGAACACTAACGTAATGAAAGTTCAAAATAAAACACCAATAACTCATACATTTAAATAATCTTCATAAGTAATGCATAAGGAGCATGATTCATACAATAGCAATTCTACTCATTTGGGATAGATGGGAGAACTCTCATTGCCATGAATGTCAGGTTATTTCCACTTGAACATAGTAAAAAGATTACCTTTATCTCTCATGCAGCACTCATCCTTCTACAAAAATCAGGACCAAGTTGGGAATATTTGTTCTTGTCCAGAAAGGAGCTTTGAAGAATATAACTGTCATGCTTGTGAAATTGTCTTTGTGTGTATATGTGTATGTAAGCATTTAAGGTGGTTGCCATGTTAGGTTGTCCTGTAAATGTGCTGGATTACAATTCCCATCACCTCTGGCCAGTTGATGGAAGTTGTAGTCCAACACATGTAGAGGACATCAGGTTGTGGTAAGAATTCAAAAGGATAGACTGATGATGGTTGCTCCAGGGATTAGAATAAAAGCCATGGGCAGAGAGATGTGGTTACTGCTATGTTTAACAAAAACAAGTATGGAATATAATTTGTGAGGACTCATTAATATAATGTGTACTCCTAATGTTTTAATCAAATGCCCCAAAGCTAAATAGCTAATGATTTTGTATATGAGTGATGGGGAATATAAAAAGTATCCATGGAGCTATTTCATGCATGAAGATACATCACTGATGATTCCACTGGTCCCTTGCAGCTCAGTGTGTGAACTGAATCCATCCTACTATGATAAGCAATGTGTCCTGCAACATCTAGTGTTACACACTATGAAAGCTGTATCTGATATGTGCAATGATTTTTCCTCAAATTCAGGTTTGATTTTTCATGCTTGTCAGTAATTTTCTAAAACGTTAGATGGTAACTTCTGAATGATGCAGATGCATTTGTGCACCTGCCTGAAGTAATTTCTGTTAGTGACTAACTGTTCTCAGCAAGCAGTTGTCGGCACTGAAGAAATCTGTTGGCAGATGCTGCTCATGGGTGGGAGTCTAGACTCAACAAAATTCAAAATGAGTGTTAACTAAAATAGAAGAAGCCAGAGGTTAGGAGTTTGACTCCCCACTGTGCCTCCTTGATGAATCACAGGGTCCCTTCCAGCTCTGCAGTTCTTTGATGATGATGATGATTTTCCCACTTACTTACCTCTGGAATTATAACAAGTCCAAATATTAAGCCAAACAAGACCAGGTTTACCCCATACATCCAACGCAGAAATATGAAATAAGAGGCAACTGAAGATCCAAAATGACCTTAAATAATGAAAAGACGCTATTAGAAAAGTGTATGGGTCCCAACAGAATTTGCTATAAGGTAGTACTAATTCATTTTTGTGCATACCTTTACCAACCATGTTTGAAGCATCCCTTTTTTTCCTCTTCTGGTGTTCACTCATTCTTAAAAATGGAATGGACAGATTGGCTTCAGCCCACACTTAAAATTTCCTCATGCCCTCCTCCTTGCTGTAAGCAATGTTTGCCCCTTCCACATAAGCTCCATCATTATTATCCGCCACATTTGATTTGTCTCGGCTGTTTTTAAATACAAGCAGCAGCCAAAAAAGCAGCACCACTTGTAAGATGGCTTTTAAAACTGGCTTTTACAATGGGCGTGTTCACTGCATGCAGAATTTCTAGGGAAGGGATAGGGAAATGTCATCGGACTCCAGCTCTCATCATTCTGATGTTTGGTTATGCTGTTTGTAGCTGATGGGAGTTAGACGTCACTTCCGCTCGGGGGGATGACCAGCTAGGAGTGAACCCTTTGTATCGCCTAGCAAGGTAAAAAGCTATTAAAATAAATTTCTTCCTTTAGAAGACTGGTTTTTTTTAACATAAATCCTTGGAGAGAAGGATAAGGAAAGCGTACAGCTAATTAAAAGCTTTAAGGACTATGTTATTTTAAAACTACGAACTACTTTCACTTTCGAGTCCGAATAGCTTCTGGCTTTTTTCAGTTGCCCTGCTCCTAATGAAAGTCTGAAACAATAATAATTATTTATTATTTTTCCCTTTATCTCTCTCCCAATAAGATCTTTCTTATATATATGTAAGTGTGTGCATATATATACATATATATGTCTCTCTCCTCCCCTCTTTCTCCTTTTTTAACTCTTGATGTTTTATGCTGTTTTCTAATCTATTGAATAACACTATTTACCTTATTCTTGTTCTTTACTTTTTTCTTTCTCTCTTTTGTGTAAATTATATTCATATAATCATACTAAACACACTAAATTTAGATAGTAAAAGTGATAACAAAGTTAAAATTACTAAAAACTAAATTTACATTTTTAAAGGATTTTAGTAAAGGGGGGAGAGGGGAAGGAGAAGGGTATTCTTATTCTTATTTTTATCTTATTATTATTTTAGTACTAAATATTAAGTTGAAATGTAAAAGTTAAATGAAAAGATCAGAGGTGAGGCTCTGGTCGTGGTTCCGCCGGATGATGGTGGCGTCTCCCCCCCACCTTTTGCTCATGTCTGTAGTCATGGCATGGGACCATGGTGGAGAGGATGCGAATGTATATGTTCACAAAATTGGTGAAGATCAATTATGGGATGTTGTTATGTCTATTTTATGTTTTAGTTTATTTTTGGTAGGTTGGTGGGATGTAAGGTTACGCACGGGACCCACTGGAAAGAAAATTTTCGAACTCACATGGGTAGAAAAATAAGACTGGCGACATTAAACGTTAAAGGCCTGGGATCAACAGTGAAAAGAAGAAGAATAGAAGCATTGTTGAGGAAAAATAAGCTGGACATTGTCTTTCTACAAGAGACTCATCAATCAGAAAATGGAGTTAATGAGTTAAAGATGAACAATATAGACATTTATGAAAAA